AGAGTAAGGTAGGGGTTATTTTGCCTGCCCCCCCCTTACTGCAGCAGCAGGCCACGTGGCGTTTTGTCCACACATGCTCTGTAGGGTTGCCAAGTCAAAATATCTCCTTACCGGGGGACTCCTGCGCCCAGAAGTGACGTGACGACGCCGGGCATGCTGGGGGCGGGGCCACGCCCATACAAGGGAAAACTCTATGGTTTTCCCTTGTATGGTAATGGCCCCGCCCCCAGCGTGCCCGGCGTCATGACGTCACTTCCCTGTGACGTGCATGCGGCGCGCCGGGATCCACACAGGAGTCCCCCGCCGGCAAGGTAAGTGCCACTTGGCAACCCTATGACCACCTGTCGTCCTCATGCCCTCATTCTTCCACCCAGACTACTAGCACAGCTGTTTCCAATACACCTCATATTCCGGTGCTCTGAAGAGCATCCTGTGTGCCATTACAGGGGAGCTGAGGGAGAGAAAGAGAGCCTGTGCAGGAATTTGTATATGTACACAGCCGGGCCTGGTGTTAGCATACTCTGATGGGGGCAGCCGCCAGGGCCCAGAGCTTTCAGAAGGGCCTGTTGCTGCCAACTAGGGCATTCTACCCCATCGAAGTCCCTCCCCTTCCCCAAACTCTACCATCCTCAGGCTCCACCCCCAAAACCTTCAAGTATTTCCCAGCCTGGAGCTGGCAACCCTACTTCCAGAACTCCCCCTCCTATTCACTTGTTAGTACTCTCCCACCTGTGCTGCCAGCTGCACATAATTTCTGGTGCCACCAGGGAAAGGGCTGCAGGTGGTGCAGGTGGCTGTGAGCATGGGCAGTGGGCGGTCCTGCAAGCAAGCAAGGAAAGGATACCCAAGCAGGTGGTGGACGTGAGGATGGGTGGGAGAGAATGAGGGTATGATCAGGGCCTGGTGGTGGGCAGCGGAGAGGGGGACCTAGGAATTCTCTGCCCAGGGCCTCCCATGATCTGGAATCTGCTCCACATAGAGCCATGGAACCTGAGGAGCCCATGGAAGCTCAACTATGGGCCTCAGCAGAACAGCTTTTAGCATGGAAGTGCCAAGAGTACACAAATAACTCAAGAATATTTGGAGCCAATGAAGAAGAGGATAAGGGAGGAAGAACACTCCCTCCATGCCCCTAATTGTTATAACAGAGTGATTTATAAAGAACTCTGAACACCAGAGGGCAGCTCATATTCAGACTATCCCTAGTCAGAGACTCAACAACATGGACAACAAATTTGCCCTTACAGAAATTAAATTCAATTGTTAACACCCCTTTCTAAGATGGAGACATACCAGCATAATCTTAACTGCTGCTCAAGCTTGCCAGAAGACAAATCTGTGCTATGTATCCCTGAAATTTTCTCCCCTTGTGCCTGACAGCTCTGTATGTTTCATCAGAAAGCCAGCCTCCGTGCTGCAGCATTTGCAGTGCTGCATGTTCAGGTTGTACCACACCTTTTGGTCCAGAGTATCACAAACCTGTAACAAGGTGTGAGAATGCTACCATGCACTAAAATTTGCTGTCAAGAAAGACTGGTCAACAGCACAAAGATGGGATCCACATGAAGAAGAAGAGATTGGATTTATACCCCGCCCTTCACTACCCAAAGGCGTCTCAGAGCGGCTTACAAACTCCTTTCCCTTCCCCTCCCCACAACAGACACCCTGTGAGGTAGGCGGGGCTGAGAGAGCTCTTTCAAGAACTGCCCTTTCAATAACAGCTCTGACAGAACTATGGCTTGCCCAAGGTCATCCAGCAGGTGCAAGTGGAGGAGTGGGGAA